TGTTTGCATGGACTCGGATCACCATCTGCCATCACACACTGCGGGGACGGAGGACGGCATCCCGCGACAGGCAGGCATGCTGCCACGACGGAAACATGCTGCCTTTGCCCTGCGTGCAGCTGACTGGAATGATTCCACCTCGGCGTGTGAAACGCTTCTGGCCACTGTGATCACATGGTTGGAGATGCACCGAGGCACCATACGAGCGGCAAGGCGCAACATCCCGTGCGGCAGCTGTGACAGCTCCACAGGAATGTGGACGGACGGAATGGAGCATGCCGAGTCCACTGCAGCGGCAGCATGCAACGCGCACACTGCCTCACCAGGAGGCAGCCTGCCCCGAGCTGAAGTTGTCCGCAAACGGGAGGACCGCAATCATGCCCTCCGCGGTGGTTTCTCCATGCTGCTGGAGGTCCGTGCAAAGCAGCTTGGTGCCCTCTCGATCCCAGGCCTGTGATACCCCGAGGCATGGCGGCACCACGTCCCCGCTCTCTGGGATCGGCTTTGCCGTGGTACTCTTGGGACTGCGTCTGTGCTCTGCCTCTGCAGCAGGCAACCCGCTCGTCCGTCACACTGTCCGCGTCTCACGTGCTGCGATCCCCACAGCTGTCCGCACAGTTTGTGCTCGCGTGCCCCCTGGTGACTGGAATATGGATTGGCCCTTCACGCCGTGTGCGCCTGACCCAGCCATCCGCGACTGTTTGCCTGGCATTGCCCCTGGCCCCGGCGGCGTATTGAGTGCGTTTCTGCGCCATCTTTTACCCGCTGCCCGCTGCTCGCGCTGAACGATGATCAACACCTCCCTCGCCGACGGCATTCTGCGAAGTCCTTGGGAAATGGGGACACCACTCCCATCCGCAGACACGGAGGGAACACACGCCGCACCGAGAGAGTCATCGGCCACTCCCGCTGCTCTCTGTCCTGCCAGTGGTGAGCGAAGGACTGGTCCACTGCCGCCTGTCAGCACTGCTGGCACACCACCGACGTCAGCCTGGATCCACGCCACGACGCACGGCCTCGGAGTTGGTGACGCCTGTGAGTGACGAAGCGGCACGAGGGCTGAGCGGGTGCATCGCTGTGAAGTGCGAGCGTCGCAGGGGCATCATCCTGCGCTGCACCGTCGCCGTCGCCGCTCTCTCGCCGTCCCGATCGGCATCTCGACTGCGTTCGACACCGTTGGCGATGGGCGAGTGTTGGCTGTGCTCTGCGGGCTCCCGCGTGTGGGCCGTCGCGCCCAACGCTGGTAGCGCAATCGCCTGCGAGGCGGCTGCGTTGGGGTGAGTGCTCGCGAGCAATATTCCCGACAGCAGCTTCCCTCAGCCGTGGCAGCCCAATGCAGCGTCGTGCGGCCCCAGCTCCTCCACCGCCACGTGGATGGTTTGCTGCGCCGCCTGTACAGCATTCACTTTGCTTCGGTGTTCATGCACGCTGACAACCGCGCGCTTGTTGCGTTGTGTGCGGACCTCCGTGCCTGTGGTGCGGCAATGCCAGCTGCCGTGTCCGTTGTGGCCACATGTGCTGCCGAGCACAGTCTGAGTATCAGCGCGGACAGGAGCGGTGCCACTCTGTTCTGCATCGCCTCACACCGACAGTCTGACGAGGACACGGCCGACCATCGTCTGGGCGGTGGGAAGCCACGCGTCAATCCCACCCTGTGTGCCTGCTCGGCAATGCGATTGATCGACACCTCAATTTTGTTTCGCACGTCACCGCCGCTGCAGGGCAGACCGTGCCACGCCGCCGTCAGCCGCGGCTGGGCGCAGGAGCTGGTGCGTCCCAGCACACCATGCGATCCTTTCTGGTTGGATGCGTCCACGGTGCGTTGCACCACGGCAGCGAGGCAACCGCACCGTGTCCGGCCCCCATTCACCTCCACAGCCTGGAAGTGCGGCACGGCGACAGCCGCACAGCATCGCTCGTCCCACGCGCTTCATCGAAGGGCAACTCTGTCCACTTGGCCGCCAGTCCAGCACCGCTACGGAGGATCGTTGGGTTCTGCGCACCCACACGGCACGAACGCCTCACACTTCTCCGTTATATTGAGGATTTGCGTGGCGCAGTATGCTCGGAAACCACACCTTCGTCAATACCTGGGAAGGCACCGACGACCATTCTGCTGCCGGGAGATGCCGTTCTCAAGGAACTGCGACACGTCCGCAGCCACATGAGGATCTCCCCGGACCACATCCGCGCCCCTCTTGTTGAGCACCGAGTTTTCGCCCGGGACACTGTGAGCTGCAGCGGGGTGGGCGTCTTTTAGCCACGGCACGCCAAGGACGCTCTGGACGGTGTCAGACGATCGGCCCTTGAAGCGGCCTGCACCTCTCTGGGACTGTATGACGCAGGCCGCTGGACGGACGGCTTGTTGTCTCTCGCTGAGCATGCATCTGGATCCGCTGCACTGTCACTTTACACCCCGGACAGCCGGGCTGCCTGTGGGGTCTCACCGCACAGCTGCTGGCAGCCTTGCATGCACCTGCCGAGCGGAGTGTCCTGCCAATGAGCATGGCCTCAGACACTTCCCAGTTCCCCGCCTGGCAGCAGCATCCCAATCGCCCACAAGAGTTACTGTCGCCACAGACTCCCTCTCGGCGATGGAGTCACTCCGCCTTGGCCCGCTGGCGGTGCACGACGACGTCAGCGAGGAGATTTGTACCGTGCCGCTTTCACTGGCGGATTGAGGTCACACAGCTGGCTCCACATTTTCCCCATCACACTGCGGAATCCCACGCAACGTGACAGCGGACGCCGATGCCGTCATGGCACGATCCCTCTCGCAGGACTGCGTGAATGCGTGACACGTGGACTTCCTCACCGCAGTGAAGCGACGGAGCTGGAAGGATGTCCAGGAGGAAAAGGAAGCCGCGCACACCGCGTGACAGGCGCCTGTCGGTGTGGCGAGGACTCTGTTCCTGGTGTTGACCCGGACATCGTGCCCCGAGTGGCGGCACAGCGCACAGGCGCGATGCGACTCCTGCCCACTCTTCGACAGGCCTGCACGCGCCCTGCGGATCACAAGGAACCCTCTGTGTCGGTGGTGCCGTCCCTCCCTGACTGCGGTGACCGGCCCGCCTCTGCCTCCGCCGGAACCTCTTCCCGACATGAGCACCGCAACTCCTTGCCTGCCAGCGAGCGGCGGATTGACGTCCTCCTGCCCAACCTGCGGCAGAGTGCACTTGTCCGTCCACAGTATGAGGGCACATGCCGGACGTGCTCAGCCTGGCGTTATAATAGTTTGCGAGGGCCTCCCATGCGGATGCCACAATGGCGCCACCGTCTTCTTAACAGGTGCCTTGCGCGCAGGTCGCCACCGAAGTTGCCAAGCATGCCAGCAGGCAAGACACGCAGGAAGCACAAACGCGGGTACTCGAGATGGACCAGGCTCTTCCGCCACCGCCTCATCACAGACGCCACGGGCTGCTGATCCCCCGACGGACCACGGGAGACTCTGCCTCATCCACTGCGGGAATGCCTTCGTCGTTGGGAATATGGACTGCGACTGTTTGTGACTGCCCCAGCCCGCACAACGGCCCGTTTGCGACGGAATACTTGCCAGTTTTGTACGGACGGCCCTTGCGCTACTCACTCGTTATTGTAGCAGCATACAACCAAAACAGGATAACAAGTTGCTTTGTGATGAATATTGGCTGCAGTTCCCGTGGACCAACAATCCGCGTGGTGTGCGGGGATCTCCTTTTTATTGTTACTATGCTTTTGTGTTGCTGTGGGCGCTGCACCTTCTTGTGTGTGTGTGCGCACCCTCCGTGAGGGGTGCAGACACGACGGACCGCTCTCGCCGTATGTACATGCGGTGGAGCCTTGTGTGCCGCTCCTGTTTGCTTCTCCCTCCTCCATCTGTGTGTTGGTGTTGCGGCAGGGCTGTGTGTGTGTGTGCCTGCTGCCGTGGATTGGAGTGTGTGTCGTGTGTGGTGTGCGGCGTACGGTGCATGCCTGGCTGCTGCCCTCTCCTCATGTGGTGTGCCCTCTGTGTGTGTCTGCTGCACCTCTCGTCTCCCTTGTTGCTCTCCATGTCCCTCACTGTGCAGATCAGCTCCACACCACTGAATGACCACACTCACGATGATGATGACGTGCCGTCTGCTGTGCGCCCTGTTGGTGCTCGCCCTGTGCTGCTGCCCGTCCGTGTGCGTGGCAGACGCTCAGCCTAAACCCGCTGCCACTTCTTCCCAGACGAATACAACACCGGTACCAACTAAGCCTGAATCGTCTGAAGCCGCCCCCAGTCAATCGACTTCTGCAACAGGTGTAACACTTGAGGGTACCGGTCAGCCAGAGTCATCAAGTAATGGGTCCGCTGCGGAGCACGGAAATACGGCCGGAAATAGAGGAGTTTTGCCCAGTTCGCATCCGCAATCAAGTGTTGATCCCAATACTGTGCAAAGAGAAGGTACGGGAGAAAAGTCAGGGACAAAAAGCCGCACTCGTACATCCACAGAACATGCAAATAAGAATGTCGACGATCCTGCCGAGACCACAACGACCACCACCACAAAGGCACCAACCACGACGACCACCACTGCGCCAGAGGCACCAAGTACTACGACTACAGAGGCGCCAGCTGTGTCGAGCACCCGCGCACCGTCACGTCTTCGCGAAATCGACGGCAGCCTCAGCAGCTCTGCGTGGGTGTTTGCCCCGCTGGTGCTCGCCGCGTCCGCGCTGGCGTACACCACTGTGGGCTGAAGAGGTGTGTGCGGGCTGTGCGTGCCAGCACCCAACCGCGGGGATTTGTGCGTGTGTGTTGTGGTCCACTGTATAAAATAAGAGGAAATAATGATTGTGTTTTGCTTCACTTGCTTCCGCTGCTGTGCTGTGTGCTCCGCGTTGTGCCCCGCATCCGTCACGTTGAACGCATCGCGGACACACTCATAAGCATGCGCACTGGAGCCCTGGGTTTGTTTTTCTTTTCTTTTTCTAATTTCTGTTTTTTAATTATTGTTTTTTATTGCTTTTCAAACCTCTGGTTTGCGGGGCGGTGTGCGAGCTCTGCAATCGTACTGATTCCATCTGTCTCGTGGTGTGTGCGCTGCTGCTGCTGCGGTGCTGCCATTTGTTGCTGTGCGGTGGCTGTGCGTGGTGTAGCGGCGGTGTTTATCTTTTTGCTTCCCTCTCTGTTGACGGGGAGTTAGTTTGTGTTGAAGGCTGCACGGAAGTGACAGGAGTGATGGCGATGATGACTGGCCGTGTGCTGCTGGTGTGTGCCCTCTGCGTGCTGTGGTGCGTGTTTTCTTCGGTGTCGGCCGATGCCAGGGATGATTTTGAGGATTCCGGCCAAGCTGTTGTTGGGAGTGTTGGTCAACCTTCTTCCCCAGTTGCGGGTCATGGTGATAATGGAGTTGTCACTGATGGAAGTTCTCTGAGCAGTGGAAGTCACTTGCCGGGTTCTGCTCCTACGGGTGGCAAACCCCCACTTCCCGGTGTTGGTGAGGGTGTGGGTTTAAATGAATCTAAGGATGCCTTAACTCTTGCACAAGAGGGGCGTGAAGTCGTACAGGATCAGCATGAATTAGTGCCTCAAGTTTCGCATCACACTGATGCGGGAACAGGAGGGAAAAGCGATCCCAATGCGCCAGAACAGTCGCCCAACGCAAAAACGGAATTAGAAGATGGTGGTGGTGTTTGTGGTGATGATGCTGCAGCTGCGGAGGGTGAAGTAAAAACCACCGTGAATGAAGGACAATTGGGCGGATCTTCCACGAGCGACAGCCATCCACCAGCAGCAGACCGAGGGTCGAGGGAGCAGGAAGGCACAGTGGAACAAGCAGCATCAACAGCGGCATTGACGCCAGTGGTGGGGCGAGAAACACCACCTAAGGGGGACACAAAAGAGGACTCACCGGAGGATAAAGCCGCAACTGGCGCAGGTAACACACAAGATATACCAGCTGTCAGTCAACAACAAACACATTCTTCATCCACCCCTACAGCTGGAAATGGTCTGACTTCCACTCTAGGAAAGGGGCGCGCTGCGGAGGACATTTCCAGCAATAACGAACGATCCGGTAAAGCACTACTGCAAGAAGGAGCGGAACACGAAACTGTTGCTGGCAGCCAATCGCAAACAATACCAGCAGCCACCGCCCGTAACACACTTGGCACAACCGTTTCTGGCGACAGCGACAACAGCACCACGATAACTACAGCCGTGCGGTCTGACACTGGCACAGAAGGCACTCCAACCAGCAATCATCCGAACCGACAATCCATTGAAGGCGCCACATCACCCGGCATGAATTCCGATGGTGAAGCTGCATCAACCAAAAAATATGATACGGTATCTCAGAGTGCAGGATCCTCAACAGCGCCAACCACAAACAACAAAACACGTGACACAGCTTCTCATGGCAACAGTGACAGCAGCAACGCGGTCTCCCACACCACCTCCCCTCTTTTGCTTCTTGTTGTTGTTGCGTGTGCAGCAGCTCCTGTTGCGGTGGTGGCCGGGCCTGCATGAAGTGGAGTGCGCCGAATGTGGACGAAGGCATACGGCAACTGAACTGTTTTTGTGATGAATATTGGCTGCACTTCCCGTGGACCAACAATCCGCTTGGTGTGCGGGGATATCTTTCCCTTTATTGTTACTTTGCTTTTGTGTTGCTGTGTGCGCTGCATCTTCTTGTGTGTGTGCGTACCCTTCATGAGGGCTGCAGACACGACGGACCGCTCTCGCCGTATGTGTGCGTGCGGTGGAGCCTTGTGTGCCGCTCCTGTTTGCCTCTCCCTCCTCCATCTGTGTGTTGGTGTTGCGGCAGGGCTGTGTGTGTGTGTGTGCCTGTTGCCGTGGATTGGAGTGTGTGTCGTGCGTGGTGTGCGGCGTACGGTGCATGCCTGGCTGCTGCCCTCTCCTCATGTGGTGTGCCCTCTGTGTGTGTCTGCTGCACCTCTCGTCTCCCCTGTTGCTCTCCATGTCCCTCACTGTGCAGATCAGCTCCACACCACTGAACGACCACACTCACGATGATGATGACGTGCCGTCTGCTGTGTGCCCTGTTGGTGCTTGCCCTGTGCTGCTGCCCGTCCGTGTGCGCGGCAGAGGATTTGACGGCTCAATTGCAAGATACTGTAAGCTCCACCAACCCATCGTTCTCTGCTTCAGGAGCACCACAGCGGGCCGTTGTTTCCGAGTCAGGAGCACCACCAGTGCCTAATCCGGTTGCGAAACCAGAAGTTGGCGGAGAGGCTCAGTTGAAAAATGGCGAAGATGGACAAGGTTTGGCTGGACCGGGACCGAAAGCAATTGTCGCGTCCAATGAGTTACAGGGAGAAGGTAAGGGCAGTAAGACAGAGACGACGCGTAGCACGAGTACGTCCTCAGGAAGAATAGTTAAGGAAGCGGAAGACACGTCAGGGACAAAACCACCAACCACGACGACGACCACAACAAAACCACCGACTACGACAACCACGACTACAACAAAGGCACCAACCACGACGACCACCACTACAACACATGCACCAATTACTACGACTACAGAGGCGCCAGCTGTGTCGACCACCCGCGCACCGTCACGTCTTCGCGAAATGGACGGCAGCCTCAGCAGCTCTGCGTGGGTGTGTGCCCCGCTGGTGCTTGCCGCATCCGCGCTGGCGTACACCGCTGTGGGCTGAAGAGGTTTGTGCGGGCTGTGCGTGCCAACACTCAACCGCGGGGATTTGTGTGCGTGTGTTGTGGTCCACTGTATAAAATAAGAGGAAATAATGATTGTGTTTTGCTTCACTTGCTTCCGCTGCTGTGCTGTGTGCTCCGCGTTGTGCACCGCACCCGTCACGTTGAACGCATCGCGGACACACTCTTAAGCATGCGCACTGGAGCCCTGGGTTTGTTTTTCTTTTCTTTTTCTAATTTCTGTTTTTAATTATTGTTTTTTATTGCTTTTTAAACTTGTGGTTTGCGGGGCGGTGTGCGAGCTCTGCAATCGTACTGATTCCATCTGTCTCGTGGTGTGTGCGCTGCTGCTGCTGCGGTGCTGCCATTTGTTGCTGTGCGGTGGCTGTGCGTGGTGTAGCGGCTGTGTCTATCTTTTTGCTTCCCTCTCTGTTGACGGGGAGTTAATTTTGCTGAAGGCTACACGTAAGTGACAGGAGTGATGGCGATGATGACTGGCCGTGTGCTGCTGGTGTGTGTTCTCTGCGTGCTGTGGTGGCGATAGCGGTACGGGTGAGTATTAGCTCTTGCGGTGGCATGCTCAGCTGCGGAGGGATTGCGCGATGGATGGCCGCAGAAGGACAGGAGGAAGGGCGAATGCGTCCGCCGTGGAGGAATGCGTGCGTAATTGGATGGCCGTCGTCGTTGGAGGCGCCAAGGGATTGCTGTTGCTGCTGACACCGCTGAGGATAAGGGGGTATGCTGCAATCCAATGAACACTCAACGAGATGCGTCACCAGCCGCGTAGATCGCCTGCCGTTAGAACGAGGAAAAGACAAGGCGGAGCGCCACCAGCGGCACCGGCAGTATGTGGAGGATCAGCGGGATGGCGTTATTTGCCGCCCGAAATGAAAACGAATGTGTCGGAGTCACACGACGCATTGAGTGGAGTTGGACAGCGGGAGGAGTCAACTGTGAATGGTTCAAAAGGCAAGGCTCAGATGCTGATGGCTCCTGTCACGGTGGGGCGCCTGGGACTTGCGCCCCAAAGGGATCGAGCATTGCCCTCTTCGGATGGCAGTCGCGCCACCGGCAGTCCGGAAAACGAATCCGCTCAGGATGAAAAGTTGAAAGTCGCTGAGTCATCGGAGGGCGGTGGGACAGAGGGAGGAGCCCAGCCCCCAACACAGCCTGCCATTGGGGGGCGAAAAGGATCACTACCAACAAAACCAGCCGCAGTACCGGGCGAACAAATAAGACAAACAGCGGGGGCAGGAACCGCCGCAAGGGGCAGAAGGGCCTGACAGCCGACATGAAGTTTCATGGCCAGAGAATGGCGAGGGTAGCGCCAAAACACGATGTGGGTTCAAACACAACTTCTGCACAAGTACCGGGTGATGCACCACAAGAAGAATCGGGAGGAGAAGTTGCAGTAGAAGCAGCTGGTGGAGATGAGGCAGAAAGGAAAGAAGTTGCAGCACACCAAGACACCGTGCAGCATGCACCATCTCCCATTTACGAGAGGCCATCGCAGTCATCGTCTTTTTCAGATGGCAGCTTTGCTGCATTAGATTGGAAGGAGGAATGCACCGTGCAGGAGATTCCCAAACAGCCTCCACTTTCTGACGCTGCAGAGAAAATAGAAGACCGCCAGCGTGGAGACAAAGCGCCTGCTGCCGAGGCTGACAACAGAACTGCATTTCTTCCAGCTGCAGAGTTTAACGCCGCCGCCAGCACCACCACGACCAATCATAATGCGAGCCATCTGAACGGAGAGGACGACGAACCCTCCACAGAAGAAGTGGAGAAGAAGAATGCAACAACAAAACCGAAGGCACATCAGCCGGCACAGTTACCCCCGCAGCCCACAGTGAGGGGTTCAAGAGGGACACCGCCACCGCCACTAACAATATAAACACAGCTTTGCATGGCGACAGTGACAGCAGCACCGTAGTCTCCCACACCACCTCCCTTTATTGTTTCTTGTTGCGCGTGCAGCAGCTCCTGCTGTGGTGGTGGCCGGGCCTGCATGAAGTGGAGTGCGATGAATGTGGACGAAGGCCTACTGCAAATGAACTGCTTGTGGTGAATATTGGCTGCACTTCCCGTGGACCAACAATCCGCGTGGTGTGCGGGGATCTCCTTTTTTATTGTTACTTTGCTTTTGTGTTGCTGTGGGCGCTGCACCTCCTCTTGTGTGTGTGCGCACCCTCCGTGAGGGGTGCCGACACGACGGACCGCTCTCGCCGCATGTACATGCGGTGGTGCCTTGTGTGCCGCTCCTGTTTGCTTCTCCCTCTTCCATCTGTGTGTTGGTGTTGCGGCAGGGCTGTGTGTGTGTGTGTGCCTGCTGCCGTGGATTGGAGTGTGTGTCGTGCGTGGTGTGCGGCGTACGGTGCATGCCTGGCTGCTGCCCTCTCCTCATGTGGTGTGCTCTCTCTGTGTGTCTGCCGCACCTCTCGTCTCCCCTGTTGCTCTCCATGTCCCTCACTGTGCAGATCAGCTCCACACCACTGAACGACCACACTCACGATGATGATGACGTGCCGTCTGCTGTGCGCCCTGTTGGTGCTCGCCCTGTGCTGCTGCCCGTCCGTGTGTCTGGCAGACACTAAGCCTGAAGTTGATGTTCAAGCTTCTTCCAGTACGACCACGACGACCACACCCCCGGCATCAGTCCCCAAGGAGAAGTCCACACTCAAAAATAATGTAGGTGCCGTTCCAGCGCCTTCACCAACAGATCCATCACACCGGGAGGCCGGTTCGACAGGGTCGTCAGGTTTGGGGTCCGTTGCAAAGCCCGGAAATGATGGCGGAGAGGGACCAGGATCTACCAGTACAGGAACGAAACCAAATGAAGTGTCCAATACGTTACAGGCAGATGGTAATAAGGGTACGACAGGGTTACCCAGTGAAAAGAGACTATCCGAGGAACGGGCAAATAGGGAGTCTGAAGATTCTACCGAGGAGACCACGACGACCACGACAAAGGCACCAACCACGACGACCACTACAACAGAGGCACCAACCACGACGACTACAGAGGCGCCAGCTGTGTCGACCACCCGCGCACCGTCACGTCTTCGCGAAATGGACGGCAGCCTCAGCAGCTCTGCGTGGGTGTGTGCCCCGCTGGTGCTTGCCGCATCCGCGCTGGCGTACACCACTGTGGGCTGAAGAGGTGTGTGCGGGCTGTGCGTGCCAGCACCCAACCGCGGGGATTTGTGCGCGTGTGTTGTGGTCCACTGTATAAAATAAGAGGAAATAATGATTGTGTGTTTTGCTTCACTTGCTTCTGCTGCCGTGCTGTGTGCTCCGCGTTGTGCCCCGCATCCGCCACGTTGAACGCATCGCGGACACACTCATAAGCATGCGCACTGGAGCCCTGGTTTGTTTTTCTTTTCTTCTTAATTTCTTTTGTTTTTAATTATTGTTTTTTTATTGCTTTTTAAACTTGTGGTTTGCGGGGCGGTGTGCGAGTTCTGCAATCGTACTGATTTCATCTGTCTCGTGGTGTGTGCGCTGCTGCTGCTGGGATGCTGCCATTTGTTGCTGTGCGGTGGCTGTGCGTGGTGTAGCG